ATTATTATTATTATTATTATTATTGTAATTATTATTATTATTATTATTATTGTTGTAATTATTATATTATAATAATAATATTGCCATTGTATTAATTATCGAAATGGTTCAGTATAGCAAAATGTCTGCCGACTGGATTTCGGGGCGTTTTCTTATCACAATTTTTTTTTCACGTTATCGCTTCGCATTGTAAACGAAGCACAAATTGTCGAAAAAATGATAAAATGTACAAGAATTAAGTTCATCAGATCTTTGATACTTATTTGTGCAGTTTTATTTGAAAAATATGTTCGTTGTTGGTGGAGGTGTTTATATGCTGAAAAATTTTAAAAAGGAAAGATTGAATTAATGGAAATAAATATTTAAATTGGGATTAGTGCAAATGCATATTTGATATTTTATTATTTGCATATAATTTAAACTTTTTGTAATTAATGAGAAAATATGTTTCTTGTTGACTCAATCCAGAACAATTATTTTGTTTGTATTTAGTATCTATTCCTTAACAATTGTTAATTAATATTTAAAATTTTTAATAATTTCATAAATTTTCGTTATTTATTGACACATTCAATATTTTATTTTCTTTATCTTAGATTTTTTAATTGCGTTATGAAATATTCTTTTGAAAATATTTATAAATATTAATAAAAATTTAATGAAATGAAGCGAACATCATTTATAAAGCATTTTACAAGAAATTTTTTTAATTTTTCACAGCAATATATCCTCTAAGAGAAATAGTATTGAAAAGGTACAAGAAAAGACACTTATAGATATTGCGAAAATTATATTTAATATGCCTTGACAATTTGTACGGACGGATTCATTCATCCGTATCCCGGTATTTACGTGTAGTATTTATTTTTTCACGACCACCGTGAATTTAGCCTACACAGTGAGTATTATATTATATTAAATTGATTATTTTTAAAAGAGAAAATGACGAAAGGAAAAAAAAATTTTATTTTGTTCCATATTAAACACCTAAATTTCCAGATATTTTCATAACACTTATATATTTATATGTATGGATGTATGTGTCAATTCAAAGATAAAAGGAAAAAAGTAAAAATACTAGCTTTCAATAAATGTAATTACATACTGTATATTTACGTATTTATACGTATCTAGTAAGTATGCATATAAGTTGACGTGTATTTGTAGTTTGTGTAGTTAGATTATTAGTTGAATGGGTATAGGCCTGACTGCTAAAAATAAGTATAAAAATGTAGAATGCAAAAAAGTCCTGAGAGAGATAATTCTTCCGTGCCTGCATAAAGAGACATACGTATACGAAAGTGTGCATGCGCACATATTTGCGTACATGAAAGAATGCTTTTATGTACACGTAAGAACAGCGAGCGATTGTGTAAGAAGAAGGGAGAGAGAGAAAGAGAGAGAGAGAGAGTGAACGAGAAAAAGAATAAAACTTATATAAATAATATGGGAAAAAAAAACTATAAAAAGAGAGAGGATAAGATAAATTAAAATAATAGTGAGAAAGAGAGAGAGAGAGAGAGAGAGAGAGAATGAAAGCATAATAATATAGAGAAAGAAAGAAATGAAAAGTATAACGGACCATTCCAAGATCAGTATTGAAAATTTGTTTCCATAAGAAACGCAGCCCTGCATTTTTTAAATTTTACATAGAGATCTAGAGACGATCCACTTCTTAAATATTGCTAGGGGATCTTATCGCTAGTTATTTATTTTTCTAAACTTAAATAAAAATTATTCACCATTTTATGAATTTAAATACAAGAAAGTTGGTAGAAATATTTTTTTAACATACATTGAAAATAACGTTATTGATTTGAACAAATTTATTTTCTATGTAAAAGCATGTTCATTACTATAGAAGAAAACGATTGTGAGTAAAAATTATTAAAATAAATAAAATACATTTATATGCTCCATTTGTTATATGGTTTACTTAATAATAAACAAAATAATTACACAAAAGATAAATAAAAGCTTATCCTGTGTGATAAAATCTGTAACGGCTTAACATTTTTATTTATATACTTTGGCGTTGTATTTCTGTAAAAAAAAAAAATTTGATAAAATGCTCAGTGGTATAATAATTTTGTCTCACGTAAAAGCCTAATGTAATTAGCCGTGGGAGCTCCTCCGAAACCTCAAAAATCCACTAACCTTCCGTGTCTCTTTTCCCCCTTCGTAAATTAAAGAGAAAAAGCAAATGATTCTGCCTTCCTTTACATACACTTAGTAACGTACGAATATTGTATTTCTATACGCTGTTTGAAATACAAATGTATTATTTATAAAAGGAACACATGAAAATATAAATTAATACTGAAAGTCAGAGATCTTATTTCGCCGTAATCAACACCTTCTCTGAAAAACTCATTTTCGTACGTTACTATAATAAAACTTATACATAATATGCAAAAGAAGAAAGAAGAAATTAAATAAATACCAACCTCTAGAATATACATAAACGTATATCTTACGATTCTTGTCGCAGGGAATTGACAGTTTGTATTTTGTTATTATTATTATTATTATTATTATTATTATTATTATTATTATTATTATTATTATTATTATTAATATTATTTGTATTTATTTATAACGATGGGTATTGTGCAAGTGTGATGATATCTTTATTTTTTCATAACGGCGTTGGAGTTTAACGGCGAAACGCGAACGATAAGCCCTTGGAATATTTTGAAATTTCGAAAAATTCAAACGGTTTCTCGAAAGCAACGTTTTCTTCCTTTGGCGAGCGCCCTTTCGATATTATAATAAAAGACAACAACCGTGAAATGATGTGTGTACATAATGAATCTATGTAATTTTGACAGATTTTATGTATCAGTCTTTTTTCAAATTCAAATTTTTTGTGAAAGTAGCCTTTCTTACTATATTTAATAAAGTATGAGCGCTCGTTTCGTTTTTTTTCTTTTCCTCGTTACGCTTCTATTATTTCTGTGAATTATTGAAAATTTTCAATGAGACAAATAATAAGATATAACAACAAGGTACTAGAAATAAAATCATACTGACAAAAGAATTAAATTCGAAAGATGTATATCAACTGTTTCATGCATGTATAATGAGCGACCCCGAGTGGAAAACCATAGGAAATCATAATAAAAAAATTTTAAAAACAAAAAAAAACAAAATAATACAAAAAAAAAAAAAAAAACAAGGAAGAAAATTTTATGACAGGAACAGAAGAAATTGTATCCTATTTGATTAAAGTATATTAATTATAACTGTTTACATATATATACATTATGTATAACACGTATCATATCGATCACACGGATATCTAAAGAAATCTATTATTGTTTGCGTGAATAAACGAACGATTCAAAAATATCTATAAAAATTGAAGTTATTTATTACTATACACTATGATCCTTTCTGCCTAATACTAATATAAGATCATAAAATATTGAATCTTTAAGAATATATAACGTAGTATAATTTAAAATGAAAATTCATTAAATAAGAAATAATGTGACTATCCTATTTCATTATCTTATGAATTTCGTCATCTTTAATAAAATATTCTAGAGCAATTTGATTGTAACGTAATGCATAATCGTACAAAATAAAAATAAAACACGTATTTATGTAGGAACAAATTTATAGAAAAATTTATTGATTAAAATAAATAAGAGAAAAAATATTATATTTTCAAAAATATAGAGCGAACAATTGTGTAATAAGTATGGATTTAAGATGAATGAAAAATTTTATATTTATATATTTTAAATTTTCTTTCTAAGTATTTATATATTTTATAACGAGATAATATTATCACATCAGCCATTAAAAATAATTTACAATTATATATATATATATATATATATATATATATGGACTTACAGCACACTGTTTTATCGTTATAAATAAAATCACGACGACATTCAACTCCACTGTTATATAAATTAAGAAGATAATGAATCAATACTTTTTATAAATTTTTGCATCCATTAGTAAGAATATAAATACTAAGTAATATTATTGGTATATTGCGCGCGCAATGTCGACGTGGAGAGGAAAGTCAAATAACGTACTGAGCACGACAATTCTCGTGAAAAAATAATAATCTAATGAGTGCTTTATTTTCGTAAATTAATCAAATTTCGAAATCATTTTATTTTCGGACGAAGCCATCATTTTTACAAAGAACGAAACAATGAAAATGTATAAATTTTACTAGTTTGAAAGATGTGCTACAGGATTAGTTTTATATTTAATTTTATTAACACAATATAATATAACTGACGAACCAACTATGATTTATTTTCAATATAAGATTTGATATTAAAATGTTTTAAATCGATTACTAAAAACACGATAAAACGAAGAATTTGAAATACATATAAATTTGTATGAACTGAATTACTTACACTTTATAAAAAAATTTATTTAGATTTCGGTTGAAAATTAGATGTTAATATTACATCAATTGAAATAATATTATTACATAACGAACTTCGTATAATATTGTTAAAAAACAATATTATTATTAATAATAATGTAATTTCATTGAATTTTATAAATATTTCGAATTATTAATTTCTTAATAAAGTATACTAATTAAATTATTTCATATTTTTATTTTACAACATTATGAAGGAAAGAATTATTAAAAAATTATAATTTATTGATACAATACTGTAATTTATTATTGAATCCTACCGTACTCAATTTGTATCCACGTTGAAAAGATGAATTTTCAAATTCATCAAAAGATCAATTTTCAAAAAAAAAAAAAAATTTAATTTAATTATTAATTTATTCTTAATTTATTTTATATTTATATTAATTTGTATATTAATATAATTTTAATATAAATAAGTTTAAATATTCAAAACATACATAGAATAAAAACGAAAAGAGAATTTTGAAAAAAATGCATTGGTTTTATAGGTAATAATACTGTATATTATAGAGAAACTTTTTTTTTTTTTTAAATATCGCAAGAAATGTTTTTGATATTGTACTATGAAATTTGCCTCTATATAAATATAAATGATATATTTAAATTTAAAATTATTATATTCTCATTATTATTTTATTATTGTTATATGCTCGCTCTTCCTTAGATAAACGCTTTAAATGTATATATGTATATATACATTTATGATTTTTTTTGTTTTTTTTTAATTTTTTTTTTCTTCTTTTTTTACAGTAACGATTCCCTTTTAAATGTTAGATAGTTTTTTATTGAAACAAATACTTGATAGCACATTAATTATGATTATATAAATAAAATCATAATTTATAATTTTGTAGTTTGTTTAAAAAAGACGCAAGTTTCATCAACATTTTAAAATATATACAATATTGTAAAAAAAGCTGGACTTACCTATTCTGTTCTAATGGCAATTGATATTTTGTCGAATTCGGAGTATTATAGTTTTATCACGATTGTGCACTACTTCGTTCGCCGAAAGAGAAAGCAAAAACTAAGCGCAAATCAACTGCGCATGCGCCCCTGACTTTGTAAATATCACGACAAACCGTCAGTAGTTGCACTGCATGTTAATTCTTTGAAATGTTTGACTCAAGTTTGCATTATCACTTTACTATTACATTTTGATTGATTGAATAAACTGACTCTAACGTGATCATTTTTTTAATACTCGATTCGTAAGTAAAATGAAAAATTACAAGTTGTTCAATCAACTTTTTCCGTGAATATGCATTTTATTCTTATCATAGAATGATACACGTAAGATACATGTAATATCCTATACACCCGAGTAGGTATTGTTTTCCATTCAGTGGCGCTATCTTTATTCTCAATTGTGAAGTTCTAGCCGATCTCTAGCATCATTTCAAAGTTGTAAAAAACTGTTTTTTGCTAATTTTGTTCTGCCACACAACACGCGTATAAGTTAATAAGATATTTTTACATTCGTAATAAATAACGAAATTTATAATAATAAAAAAATGAATGAAGTTATTTTGAATTTTAAAAATTTATCTGCATTTAGTTGCAATTTCACTTTAGTTTAGTAATTGAATGAATATTCGGCAATATAACATTAGTACTTGATAACGTGATATTTGTTTAGTATTTAAAAAAATTAAAAATAATTTATAATCGATATTATCATTTTTACTGATAAGTATATGCAGTTTTAGTATTTAAATTTGAAATGTAAAATTGAAGTGCTATTTTTAAAAAGTGATAAAAAAAAAAACTAGAATTAATTTAAAAAAAAGAAAAAAATAATAATAAATACAGATAATTATATAGCTAAATATTTAAGTGGGTAAACTTATCGAAATATAGTATTCCAATCAAAGTTTGATTTACTTTTTTGTACGTTTTCATTATTATAGAATTAAAATATTACGCAGATAAGAATAAAAAAAGAGACTTTATGCAAATGAGATGGGACATATTGATAAAATTACAATTTCAGGTTAGGATGTTAGGAATATCAAAAATCAACAATACTTGTGCACACTGTCTAAAAATAGTTTAATTCATAATTAAAAAACAAAAAATAATTTAGTTAAAATATACAACTAAATTTTTTCAACTCTTTAAAAAAGAATTAATGCTCTCACATGATAATTTTATAAATATAATGTATACATTTTTCATTAAGTTCAGAATTTAAAAGTAAGCTTAGAAAATTAAAAACTAAGCAATTACTATATAAACAATTCATGATAAATTCATAGCCTAATCCAACGTATTGGTTGTGACAATTTCATTTTTAAATTTATAATGACAATATCTTACAATTAGAATAAAATCTCCCTTTATGAATTGTAAATAATGGTGAACTATTTAGGGAGATCTCATTTTACATAAGAATCGCAATTGTAACATTTTCACTTCTCCAGCATTTGATTTAAATACACCTTCTTGATTGTCAATGGATAAAAGTGTGCCAACAGATTCTCGATCTTCTCCAATGATAACTTTTACTCTATCATTTTGTGATGGAACCACTGGTTCTAGCTGATCACAAAGTATATTTACCGATCTATCTTCGCGTGGTAAAAATACTGTGCACATTCCACCCTACGAAAAAAATGTCGAATGTCAAATGTCAAATGTCAATTTAATATTGAACCGACGTACAATTAGGGATTAAATAACAAGCACAAACGTGCGTGTCTCGTTCGATGAATATATAATTAAAATCATGAATATACAAAGAAGAAGTCATTTTGTAAGTAACTCACTGTAATTGTTGTGATGTAACCTTGCTGTCCAGCTAAATCGCTATCTTGATTTGAATCCCTCACACGAACTTCGATATCCGTTGTATGCCATTCTGAACCAAATACTCCAGAGCCATGACTAGTTTCCATACTAGAGCCTGGCGTTTGAGGATTATATGGACTACTAGCAGTGCCTGAGATAAAAAAAAATATATATATATATATATATGTATATATATATATATTGTGTGTGCGTGCGTGCGTGTGTGTGCGTGTGCGCGTGCGTGTGTGTGTATGCGTGATAGCATTAATTTCCCTTGCTCTATTATAGGAAACTTTAACAAAAAGTATCAAGAATTCTAACATTGTGCATTAATTAAAATTGACAGAAAAAGTAATCTTATTTCTGTCAAAATCAAGATCATCGACATCGACATCAAATCCTCTACATTTAATAATAGTACAATATGAAAATTGCTATAAGAAACTCTATTTTCTACATATTTTAAAAGATGCATTTTCATAAAAAAATAGTATTAAATTCAAAAAAGAAACAATAGATAAACACTTGAGCCAAATAATATAGAGCAAAGTTTAGTTAATTATCAATTCATATATTTTATACATTTGGTATTTATAATGTGTATATTAAAGCTGATATACATACATTGTTTTAGTATTTGAAAAGTAAAAAGAAATTATAACAGTTTTTCGTTGAGCATCGTTACTCATCAGTCATCGGCTGTTGCGAGCTTGATTCGCTAATCAATTACCACAACCAAAAATAATCATCGAAATGAAGAGGAAGCACTTAAAATCTTATATTACTCTGTAATTTCCTTAGATTAAAATTACTGCTGCCTCTTTTGTGAATACGAGTTATCAAAACGTGCCAGTACTAATACGAACATACGTCAGCGTCAAATGGAGTGTGTGCAAATAAAAAAGGCTCATCCCTTAACACTTTCGATTGCCGCGCCACAAAACACTCCCTCGTCCTTATACCTCTGGCAAAATATTTCCTATTTTTCGTTTATTGTTTGTTTGTTTGTTTGTTTTGTTTTTCAGCGAGAGTGGGACAATACGAGTAGAGACAGACTTACCGGGTGTCATCGGACTGTAGCCCATGGGCGATGGGGAGGCGAAGGCTCCATGAGGACTGGTCGTGTAGCCGGTGCCGGCCGGCGAGGGCGTGCTCCCATAGGCTGCTGGACTCGGACTCGCGGTTGCACTTGCCACTGGGCTCGGGCTCGGCTGATAGGGACCGAAACTCTGGTCGGAGCCATACATCGTGCCCGGGGTTTGCGGCGTGAACGGTCCGCCCGATGGATAGCCTGGCGCATAGCCCGGCGAGCCGCCCTCCTCTATGTTGTAGCCATCGAAGTCGCTGGTCCGTGCGGGTGTATTGTTGACGTTTGGATCCCAGGCGCCCGACTGGCCTGGGGTGCGGGAGCCGGCGTCGTGAGACGGCGTCATCGAACCGTAATGAGGCGTGCGTGAGCCAGCTGAAAAAGAAAGAAGAGAAGGTCCTTTAGCTCCGCTACTTAATTGCCAAAGCCGTAAAGGGATGCTTATTAAGCGCCTTATTAAGGCTATCGAGACCGCGGGGTCGTCATCGTTTTTTACATAAATATATTCAAGGCCGGTCAATGGAATGCGAGGTGGCCTGTATAAAATGGCTAGTCGGTGAAAGAATGCGTCGTGTTTGCTTCTAATACTTTTCACTGACACTGCACAGATTGGAATTCAGTAAGCGGCACATTAAAGCTTACACCTTAAGTAATTAAAAAATTTTAGTAAATCATTTGGGACTGACCACCATATTTTTAGCAAAATTGAATTGTTCGTTGGTTTAATTGCGCTCCTATACTGCTAACACTGTTAATTATAGTATGACGAGCAAACTGGAGATACTCACTTTCGTACATGGGAGTCTGTGAGCCGTGCATAGGCGTCTTGCCACCGGAGTACATTGGAGTCTGACTGCCAGCAGCGTAGGCTGGCGTGCGGCTGTAACTGCTGAAACTACCATCCTTGGTCGGGACACCGACATTAGCGATGTGCGAACGATCAACGGAAATCGTCTGGCACGTGGAGTGTAGCTCGACACGTGCGGTCGTCTCCGTGGCGTCCTTGACGATGCCAACGTTGCCCTTGTAGGGCCCGCCAGTGATCTTTATCGTAGTGCCGATGAGGTCGCGGTCGCGCCGAGCTCCGGAGCCTCGGCCTCGTCCTCGGCCTCCTCCGCCTCCCCCGGTGCCACCGCCTACCCTGCCACTAAGCAACGATAATGAGAAGTTAACCATTGGAACGTCGAGAGGATATATATGGAAGAGATAGATTTGAAGAAAGATTTACCCGCTTGCGTGCATGGGTGAAGCGATTCTCGGTGACATGAATCCAGTTATCATTGGCGACATGGAAGACGCTATGTTAGTCTTATTGCCCCCGGCTAGTTGTAAGTGTCTTGTTTTACAAACGAAGATCCCACCGTTATCAATGAACATTCTCGAATGCAAGAAAGCAAAGCTTCTATACAGATGCTTTATTTCTCCACCTCTGCCGGAATGTGGACCATCGACTACCTTTTAATAGTATTATACCACATTTTACATCTATTATTAAACTTTATAACATTCGACATTACATGTTTTAATGGTATTGATATTTCTTGCGATTATAATATGGTAATCGAGTCCATTTGAACGATATTAAGAATTGGATAAGATATGAATTTCGATTGTCTTTCATTCTCATGCATATCAATAGGATAAATTTAATAGTTTATTAACAGATCTTTTGCACTTTTAAAAGCTATTTTGTATAATAAAGGTTGAATATTAGTAGCTTTCAGTGAAAGTAACGATTTCATCTCTGGGCGAGATTATTTTTCATTTTCACCTAGAGTGCTAATGAAGAAGGCTACAAAGGATCCATGCAATTCTCAGAATGGAATGAAAGAATATAATCTATCTATAATAAATCATTCTCCGTATCGATATTGATAATACAATGTAATATATCTTTATCGATGCTTATCGTATCGCAAAAGGAAACACCACATCGCTGTGAGTCAAGATTTTCGTCATTGTGACTGAAGGAAGTCCCCACTAAATAAGATACCTACACTTTCTCGTTCAAGATTCATAAGGCACCTCGTTTTTTTTCATTGCTCATCAGAAATATAATCCGCCTTTTTCAAAAACTAAGGATATAGACTATGCACCGAGATTTTTCACTCGCCTATTGCAAGTTATATATTTTTTCTCTCCAGCCAATCATCTGCTTTAAAGTGTCGAAATGGCTCGATTAATTACGTGCAAGTTAAGCCTTTCATACAAACGATGATATTTAACGAATAACTATTCCGGCTCTCTCTCTCTCTCTCTCTCTCTCTGGATCATCAGTATCCTCTGGGTTTGACAAGCTAACATCTTACACTCCAAAGTAAAATGAAAAAAAAAAGCACAGCTACCACTCGGTAATGATAATGATGTCGTGAACTCACCTTCACAATGTCCTTCTTCTGAATAGTGTTTTGCTGAGAGTCGAGGGCGACCGTGTTTCTGTTCTCCTTGCGTTTGGTGAGACCCTGGGGTCTCGCCTCGATTACTTTACCGTGCATCGATAGCACATGGAAGTTTTCGCGCTCGAGGCGCACTATGACGCCAACCATTTGGGGATCGATCTGCACGAGATCGCCCCACTGGAACTGCCCGAGGCTGTCAACGCCTGTGGCCATGTCCGAGCAGAGTTGCAGATCACGAGGCAAGACTTCAAGCTCGTGCATAGACAGATCCGAGAACAGGACTACGCGATTCTGCTCGACACGCACGATCAAGCCAGTGTCACCCTCGTATCTGCCTGCTACCACCTACAACACCGATCCGTGAAGTTATAATCGCCTGATTTAATAATCGACTTTGAAAATTGTAAATTACGAGATTAAAAGTTCATCTTTACCTTCACGTGATCGCCCATCGTAAAATACTTTCTTAGTTCGCTGGCTTGGAATTCCAGAGCCTCTTTCAGCTCCTCGTGCTTCGGCATCACCATTATCATGTTGCCATCAATGGATACGATTTTACCCTGCAGATTCATCAACTCACCCTCGCAGACCTCGACATTGTCACCGGTACTAAATGTATGTGTTATGGATTGATCTTCCTTCCCGGCAGAAACACCGGTAACTGGGAGTCCACTTAATTCGATATCAACGCCCTCCGGTGCCTCTTCGAATTTCTCAAGTTCAGATAAAGTAGGCTTCACACCCTCCGCTATTATAGCACTCGTTGTAAAGTTTTTGTATAAAAATCTACAAACCCCATAATGAATTATTATTACGAAAATCTTTCCATGGTAAATTTTCATTGCATTTCTTATATCTATAAATGATACCTGAGGGACTGAGCTAGTAAAGTATAAGCAAATGCACCTTATACATTGATTAGAGCATATCGATTTTAAAATTTACCCAGAAATTATTACATAAAAAAAATGTAATACAAACCCTTTACGACTGTATCGATTACCCTCGAAGATCAAAAAGTCACCATCACTAGTGACTTCACCACCGATAGCTCGAATAGCCTCTGGATCAAAAGGTTTTGCTGGTGGTCTCCGCTTCTTTTTTCTCTTCATGGCCTCAGACTCGCTTTGTGCTGTTCTTAAAGCACCTCGAGGTCTCGTATAATCAATTCTCGGTAACAGTTTCAAGTGCACTTGATTCTGTGCTAAATCTACATAATCTACTTGGGCGATATCATCTTTGTAAATACCCCGCTTTAATCTCACCCACTGTTTGGCTCTTAAACCGGTCTGTTCTTTAACAACTCGTAAAATATCAGTCATTTCTTTGATAGGCACCATCTGCTGCTTCCATATACCCATTCTTAAGTTTCCTATATTTTCAATCGATGCCTTAACATGAGGTTGCTTATAAGCTTCGATGTAAATGTAACCCTTAACACCCTCAGGTGCGACAACTGACTTAATTTGTAGAGGTTCACCTACATAATATATTAACCTTAATAAACATACTTAAAACTATTACAAATAAATTATAATAAATTAAAATCGAATATTTAGATTTTATAAACAATTTTTCAATATATTTAATTATTTATTAATATTAAACCATTGTAATTTAAGAAGAGCCATTTGTTTATATTTACCAGAAAATTGGTATGTTAAGAATTTTCTCATTAGCAAAAGAATCGTTGATTTTTCTTCTCCGATACGACATTTTACCATCCATAGATTTGGATCCTTGACACCAGGGAGTAGCGTTTGTTGCGTAATTTCATCGCTCATTTCTTCACCTCCATCACCAAAACGATGAGCTGCAGCTGATTCATGGGCATACTTATTTTTAAAATATTCCTCCATTTCATCTTCCTTTTGCGAGCTATTATAATGATTAATTATTTACAATTTTACATTTAGGTTATATCGAACAATGCAAAATTTATTGTGATTTGTTTAATTTTTATTGCTTACTCCCATAGATTTGTTCCTCTTCTTCGACCTTCAATTTCTCTAGCGGTAAGACCAATTTCGTCAACTTCATTCCCAACAATTCCAATTTCTTGTGCACCTTCTTCCCACTCTTCGTCATCTTCTGGCTCATCGTCGACCTCGGCTTCTTGAATAATAAAATCATAAACCTGTCCTTTCTTTCTTTTCTTTTTCCTAGGCCTGTCGTCATCTTCTTCATCTTCTTCTTCGTCATATTCATCTAAATCTTCCCCTTTATTAAAGAAAAAATAAAACACAAAGCTTTTATACCATAATAAATAATTAATAATATAATTAGTTTATATTTACCATCTGGTTCTTCCTCTGGTTCTGGTTCTTCTTCAGAATTCACCTCTTCCGCCTCATCGTCTCTCGCAGATCTAAAAAAAAAAACCCTTATTATCATAGAAATTCATCGTTACAATTAACACAAACTAAAGAGTATATATTAACCCAGATCTGGAGCCGGAACGTGATCTAGATCTGGACCTGGATCTGGATCTTGATCTGGATCTGGAACCTGATCTGAATCTTGAACGGCTTCTTGATCTAGAAGTAACAGAGCGACTTCTGCTTCTTGAGATACTACGCGATCTGGATCTAGACCTAGACGCAGCTGGACTTCCAGTTGCGCTTCCGACATCGCTACCATTACCAGATCTTATAGAATGATTTTCACTATCGCTACCACCTCCTGTCTTGCCTCCTCCGTCACTTTCATTATCTGAATATACACTCCCCTCCGAATCTGACATCTTGTTTCGTCTGATCAGAAAATGTAAAATCGATTATACATATTAATACAATACTTATACAATTCAATGAAAATACAGATAACAATGAACATTATATTCATGATAAATATTTTTGATAAAATACTACTAATGTATAGGATTATAAATATTACGAAAGAATTTTTAACTAGTAGAGTAACTTACACAATCGACACTTTTACTTCGTTAAATTGAACAAATAATCAGCTATTATAATAAAAGTTCATTCCAAAACTAATGCCCATACTGCCCGAAAATAATGATATAAAAAAATTTTGTTCACATAGATATAAATAAATCCGTTCTTAATTAAAGCATATGATAAACATATTATCGACCTTACCGATTAGCTGAAAGTATAATCACCTTCACACCCAAACGGTACAAGTCGATCAGCGTCTCTTCGTCCTACAATGTTTATTACCCTTAGCCAATGATATTAATTAAAAGTAACTCCAAAAATCGTAATTATTCGAAATACTCTTAAGCACCAATCGGCATGATTCTACGACATATTTTGCAAAAGTTGATAATCTTGGATCAATTACATAAAGGTTAGCCGCCTGTGCAGCCGAAGGGTCAAGATCCTAACATGTGTGAGTAGTTTTGCGCATTTCATCGTAGCTAACGTTGATCATGTGATATAATCAAGCCAATAGAAAAAAGAAGCGCTAATTTTTCAACTGCAATTGTAAGGGATAAAACAGAAATAAATTTTTTTTGTTTATTGTTCATTTTTGCAAAATGAACAATTGAGCAAAGAATTTATAATTAAATAACTGGCCCGCATTTCATCAGTAGTATGTTTTTTGTTAATATTAAAATCTCATCAAGCATTTTCTTAAACGTTATGCTTACAATTATCCATGTAATTATCCATACGATAATCGAAAAATAGTACAAATTCATGTATAATAATAATAATTAAATATTCAGACTAGTAAAATACCTTTGCTTATTTCATATATCATATTTCATATATCGATATTCATCTAATATAGAGAATAAATCATAAAACAATTTTTAACTTCAATCGACACATCAATGAAAATGAACTCGATAACCCGATAAAAATTAATAGCACTGAAAGCTTATACAACGTTTATTATTAATTTTTATCAACGTTAATAACTTTAAGCATTTTATTTCGTTAAACGTTTGTTATTGATTAAATTCGTTAAATGCAATAAATTGTACAAAAATAATAAATCAAATTTAAAAAATTAAATAGCGATATTAAAATTAAAATTGTCCTTCATATTTCTCTTCTCTTCATCCTCGAGTCATAATAAGTTATGGCTATTTAATACGAAATAACAAGCTCTTGCATTCTTATTAAAGTTAATATCTTATACAATGATCGCGATAAAATTTGAAAAAAATATTTAATAAAATCCTATAAAATATATGTAAATACTAAATACTTTTTTTTATGTATAATATGAGTATAGTTTTAATTTTGCACAGTAAAAATGATGTCAATTTATCATTCGTTCAATGCCGCATCGTTCAATGTAAATAAAACAAAGCAACATGTGTATAGAAAGAAAAAATAAAAAACGTAAGTGAAATTCTTTATTTTTTTATTTTCAAACTAGACGATAAGTTTCTTTGTTACAAAAATAGTATAAATATTAATTGATAATCATAAAGATATATATCCAAAAAGCAAACTAAAAATTTATTTAAGAATTGCGTATTTCATCTGTCTGATTAAAACTTGATGAAAATTCCAATATGGAATGCTTAATGAGTTAATCATCACGTAACGATACGATCGAAACGTGTGAAATCGTAAGTGATTTAAATTAATTCTTTTTTATTTAATGCAATATACTGTTTCTAATTAATCATATCAAAGATTCGTTACAGAATTTTTATAGTAAGAAACTTGTGACTTAATCTCTGTTTAAAAATATTTTAATATATGCAGCTGTTTTCTTGTTTTCTTATAATTAAAACTAATTCAATTAATGTTATATCGACGTTTCATTTCAAGCATTTTATTTCTATCGGAACGTAGTTTTTTTTTTTTTTTTTTTTTTTTTATATCATCCACTAAGATAAAATTCATACGATATCTTTAAATTCCTGTCGCCTACCATGTCATATTAATTTACAGCATAGAACTTTAATAAACATATTCGTGCGAATGTCGCTATAAACACGCGCGTAAAAATTATAAACTTGTCATGCGAAGACGGAGGTTAAGTTTTATCGGCTAATATTTATGTCCAGGGAAACATAAAAGTTTTAATGCAACATAAATTATTTGATAATCTGAATTTTATTAAACTGACCTTTTCTTTTTATTATTACAATTGAGCAATTTATTATAAAATTTATGGCGCCCATTCTAGTAATAACTACAATGTAAGTGCTAATGCCATCAATAAAATGTTTGTAAACAAATACGCAAATCAATATAGCTAGAGAGAAAAAAATTATACTTTATGAAATTTCAAATTACTTCAAAATATATTCAATATGAGTGAAGAATATTCGCTCTCAGCACGTATATACTGCAATCAAGGAGCTATTAGATCGGTACGATTTAGCGAAGATGGAGCTTATTGTATAACTAGTGGTTCTAATAAAAAAGTTAAATTGTGGAATCCATATAAAAGTGTATTATTGAAAACATATGCTGGCCATGGAAATGAAGTAATGGATGCTTGTTCGTCGTGCGATCAGAGTCAAATAGCATCTTGTAGCGTTGATAAGTCTGTTATAATATGGGATGTTATTGCTGGAACACCTATACGTAGATTAAGATGTCATACGGGAACTGTAACAACGGTTCGTTTTAATGAGATGTCTACGGTTATAGTATCAGGATCACAAGATAATTCAGTTATGCTGTGGGATATACGGTCTAGGACTATGACGCCTATACAAGTTCTACCAGATGCCAAAGACTCTATATCATCCGTTAGAATTTCAGATCATGAAATACTTACCGCTTCTTATGATACTAAAATAAGAAGGTATGATATTCGGGCTGGAAGTCTAGTAACCGATTGTATCGGAGAAGTTATTACTTGTGCTAGTTTTACCAAGGATAATCATTGTATCGTAGTGAGTTGTTCAGATGGAACCATTAAGCTAATTGATAAAGATACGGGCGAATTATTAGGAGAATACGAAGGTTTATCTAAAAGTGATTTTTGTCTGGAATCTAGTGTTAATTATGACGATACTATGGTACTTTCTGGTTCTATTGATGGGCGAATTTGGGTGTGGAATTTAATATCTCGAAAAATTGTAACACATTTATTCGATGAAAAATCAATAGAACATCCTATTATTTCTATAGGAGTTCATCCGACAAAAAACAATTTTTTAGCAGCAAATGCCTCCGATATTCTCTTATGGGAAAAATAATTATATTTTTTTCAAACAGCGATATTATGTAATTTATATAAAATATTTTTAATTACACATTTTTATGTAAAATTTTCTTTGAGCATGAACGTGTGTATACATAAATGTACATAAGACAATAAATACAAATTTATATACTCTAAAATAAAAAAGATTAAACAAACAGATATATTTCCTTAAATGTAAATATTTTTAAATTTTTTATAATATAAAATTAAAATGAATCTACTTTTTACAAAAATTTATTCGGCTTATGTATAATCAAAGATTAAAATTCATTCCATTTGCAGAAATTTAATAAATTAATTTCAATATATTATAGTTTAACCGATTGAAAAAAATCTTCTTCAACAATATTTTCTAAAGTATTTAACGTATCTTCAAATTGTGTTGAAGCAACTAAAAATTTTGATACAGTATCTTGTAATATAAATTGACTTTTTAAAAGCTGTTTATTAGTGTCAACTAATTGGGCCATTCCATTAGAAATATTATTATCGAAAAATTCTCGAATATTTCTGTCCAATGACTTATTACAGTCTCGCAATTTCTTATGAAGCAAACTGTTATATTTAACGGAACTTCTTTCGCTTCTATGTGCTTTTACATCTTTGTAAGAGCAAGTAGTTGTATCGGCATAATTTGCATTGCTTTCACCATTATTTTCATCATCTGATTCTCCTGCTTCTCCCTGAATCATAGTTCCACAAGAAGTAGAAGCCAAAAGTAAAGGAAATGGAATGCCCATTTTTACATTTATAGATTCCTCGTCAGATTCCGACGCTTCACCAGAAACAATAACAGCTTTGGACTCCATTTCACAAATTTTAATGAAATTTATCAATATTTATCAATTATATTATTAATAAGCTTCCGTGAGATTTTTATTACAAAATATAACTAATAAATTTACATTACCGATGATAGAGCATATGAATAATATGCATATTAATTATTTGCTACTCACTGTAATATCGTATTCAATATTCTGCTCTTAATTCAAATATTTTTAGTACAATATTTTATTTTTTAAGTATTTTAATTAACTATGAAATTATGTTGTTCAATATAATATCAGTTAAATATTTAGTCCATAAAAATATCATTTTCATTATTTGTATTGATATTTAGTGCAGGATTGAAATAAAATTCATGTTGTAAAACTATAAACAAATTAATTCAACTACGAAAACTTATAAAAAAAAATAGATTATAAGGTTAAACTGCACTCGGTAGTATTTATATGGATATGACAAGTCACCGATACTTTGACGATTGAAGTCTCGAACTTTATTTTAAATCTAGCAATCACTTTCACAAGCTTCAGTTGATTAAATATTCAACAAAATAAAATGTATAAAAAATGTATTGATATAAAATATATTTATATTTATGAACTAATTTAGGCAATTGTTTAATCAATACAAAAATGATGAATTAGACATCGTTATTCGTATTAATTTCTCGAGCAATTAAATTAAAACTAGGAAAAAATAATAAGAGCACGCTACACAACCAATGATCAAGAACATTAATATGTAATTATTATTATTTTTCCTACGTTTAGACTTGTATGTCGCAGAATTGCATTTTTTTTTCTGCAGGTGTACAAATTCAAAATTATGACCGGTCAAATATTGTCATAATTAACCTGCAAAATCTCGTCATGTCATCGTCAATTTACATACTCGAGAAAATTTTCATTGTGGCATATGTGGCATTCCAATAGCACCTTTTCTTTTAACATATACTACATATCACAAGCGTGGAATTTTACGGATATGTAGTTCACATTTCATTTGGCCTTTCATTTATTGACGCATATGCGCGCGTATAATTTTTAAGGCAGTGTGGGTCCACCTGCAGTGACATGCGTCAACGGTATGAGCGTCCAGGAAGCAAAAGCAACAACGTGACAACCATCCTCGAGAAGTCACACAAGAGCCAAGGATAAGGCGGGAAGTGCAAAGCCACAATCATGTCGTGGAGACGCCGAAAGGATGGCCTGCTAGCCAAGGTCAACTTTCCTCCTTATACGCTGCAGATGCTTACCAGTAGGCACGTCCTCGTTGGTGGCGGTGGTGGATCCTCGAGAACAGGTGTTGCCAATGGATTTGTATGTACCCATTTCTTTTTGCAATTTTCCTACCTTTAGCCTAAGCTTTCTAAATCCATCAAATTTAGAACAGTACTTACTATCTGAATTACGAATAAACCGTCAATTGAATGATCTTTGGATAAGATTAAAAATAAGATAAAATACTGAATATTATTAGCCGCTGACTAAACAGTGAAACTACTTGATAATATAAATAAATTTCAGACTGTGTTTATACTGTATTATTTATGTAATATATTAAGCATAGATTAGTACTATGAACAATCATTTGTTAAAGTGCAAAAATCCATATGAATATGTAATTTAGTTACTTTAAATTTAGTTACTTTAACAGTTGTCTAATTGATTAATATTTTTAAATAAAATTTAAAATTAAGAGTTTTCTCATGTCATGCAAATTTGTATTTTGTAGTCTATAAAACATAAAGCATATATAAGTATCATTGAATTTTTAAGAGACTGTCATCTAATATATTGCAGATATTCATTTTAATTTTGTATTATAGGCTCTTGTTATAAATTGTATTTTAAAATGTAGCCCTACAGTATCATAATATATGAATCAAATATAATATTATAAGGTCTTGAATCATAAACTTTGATTATTATAGGAAATATTTGAATTGTCTCATGATGGGACTCAGTTCAATGCCGAAGAAGTCACCCGTTATGAAACAGGACCCAATGTTGTTATGAACAGTGCAACTCATAACGATGGAAAACGAATGTGGCTAGTTGCTGGTCAAGAAAGTCACTGTCAATTATATAATATACAAGCAAAAGTGGTTGTTACTGAAAATGGAGAAATTCCAAAAAAGTCTAGTTTTTCAAATAAAGAGGAACTTAGGCAAAGGAGAAAAAATGAAATGAAAGAAGAAACAAATACAAAGAAAGAAAGCATCGAAGATATTAATGAAGAATCAAAGGCAAAGCATAAAAAGTTGCAACTTATAATTAAACCGTCGGACAGTGTACAGACAGACTTCGGGTAGGTCTAAATAGATGTATTTAAAGCCCATCGAGATGATTATGAAAATTTTTTAAATTCTGTGTAAAAATATAAAATATTTGTAAATGTAAATATGATTTTTTTGCACCTCTTTTTCACTATTTTATTTTATTTTTTTGTTACAGAGATGTTCAACCTGTACAAAGAGTTGTTAGAATAAGTCCCAATGGAAATGTAATGGCAACTGGTGGAACTGATGGATATGTACGCTTGTGGCAATTTCCTCAAATCACCAAAATGCATGATTTAAAAGGTCATGATACAGAAATAGATGATATTGATTTTAGTTCTACGGGTAAAGAAGTTGCTACCGTTGCAAAGGATGGAAAATTAATAATCTGGGAAGTAACGAGCGGCTTAAAAAGTAAAGAATTAACCTGGTCTTCTAGCAAAGATGAAAAGTCTATTTTTAAACGGTGTCGTTTTCGCAATAAATTGGTGCAAAATACAAATACTCTACAAGTTTTTACTTTATCAAATTCTCTGCCTGCAAGAGACAAGAGGCATAAGGGTAAAACTCATTATGGTTTCTTACAGCAATGGGATATAAAGTTAGAATCAGTTGAGAAACTAGTAACTTATAAAGAAAATTTGTCGGAGCTGGCTATCTCTGACGATGGAAAATTCGTAGCTGTTGGCACAATGTCCTCTGGTACCGTAGATATGTTTATAGCATTTAGCTTACAAAGAGTACTACATGTGCCTGGTGCGCACAATATGTTTATCACAAATTTAGAATTCTTGTCAACCAAACTTGATGGTCCAGCCATAACTAGCAACTCGGAAGCTGCAGTTATTAGTTGTTCTATTGATAATAAAATCTGTATCCACAGTATACCTTACAGATGTAAGTTAATAATTTTCTATTTTAATTAGTAAATAACTCCTTTTTTCAATATCTACACTTGAATTAAAAATACTTACTTAATATATAAATTTAAATAAACTGTTTATATTAACAATTATTAAATTCACTTATTTAGAATATATGTGAAATAATACATCCAGATAATTATATTTCTTTGAATACGTAGTAAAATATTTGTAAAACTGATTATGATAGAGTTCATTGAAATTTGTTAAAGCTAACTAACATCGTATAATATTAACATTTATAAAATCTTGCAACTATAATCATAATTATTTACAACTTTTTCTTTTGTTATTTAGATGTATTACCGTTCTGGCTGTTCCTCATTTTCATAGTTTTGTGTATTTGTGGTGCATTTATGCTTTGCAGTTATATGGGTATTTGATTAAAAATATACATAATTAATGTTACATCGTATCAAGAATTTGTACATTAAAATGAAAAGCTATTCAGACAGATTGAAATTTTCATGACGGTGGACCGAAATATGAAAATTGAAAATAGAAACAAATTGAATATATGATTAAATAATAGATCTTTAATTGTGTAAAAGATGCAATTGTTCTTTGTCCAGCACAACAATATTAAATTGCGTTAAATTGTCAAAACATTGATCTTAAAATCTTTATTAATTATAACATATATATATATATATATATAAATATATATATATTTTTTTTTTTTTTTTTTTTTCTGTGAAATACTAATATTTAATTATATTGTTTAAATAAGTAACGATGGCAATTAAATTATTGTAAATGATTTTGTTTGTGTATAATATGTTTTTTTTTTTTATTAATTTGAATGTTATTTTAAGCGGTATATAAAACTACAGAGTAGTTGGTTTTTTATGTTTATTTAAAGAATAACATACATTAAATTTATTTTTCGAACATAAATTGCATAGAAAATGAAATAGCTCACAAGCAACATTGAAAAACTAAATATTTGTTGTTTAAATAACCCTACAATTACATCCTCTCCTTATTGTAATATTTTAGATGATTTAAACACTTATGTTTTTAATTTTCGTTATTTAACACCACACGTTACTAAATTAAAAATATATTCTTTAGAGGCACTATTTTAAACTGTTTTCAATTATTAAAACATTAAAAACGATATTATAGTCATTTCAAGTAAAAAAAAAAGTAATTATTCATACTTACAATATCACAAATAAAAGCTGTGACCTTATTATTTGTATCGTATGAGAAGTATTAAAAATCGTAATGTAATAGATACTTTTATAGAAGATAAAATCATCTTATGAAGTAATAATTTTTATTGTACAAGCGGACTAAGTAACGTATTAGTAACGTCACCATTAAAACGCATTGCTCGCAGTTAGCGTAAAAATCTACGTTTCAATCACTCTAAATATTTTAATAGATAATGTTATCGCAATTGCGTAATTTAACAGTGAAACATAATTTTATAAATTCAAAAAATATGAGCCAATCATCAGATTTTTTATTCAGACAGGTAATTTAAATAAGAAAAAACGAAAATCTGACATTTATGCGTATTTTTAATAATATTGCTTGTAAACGTTAATGTCGTCATTATTGTTGTAAATCTATGTTATTACGTTGTATTGCTTGAATTGCGTTTATCAATATCTATTTACAAATATTGCACTCTCCATCATTATAAAAGTAGATTCAAAAAAAAAAAAAAAAAAAAAAAAATACTATTAAAACTATTACGTAGTACATTTATAAAATGTTATTTATTTTTTACATATATTTATAAGAGGTTATATTGTAATTTTTATGATGGAACGGAATAATATCTTTTTTACTTACCATCGATAAAGTCAATTATAAATATACATCGCTGTTTGCGCTCCCGCACGCACGCACACACACACACACACACACACGCGCGCGCACGTATGAATTCAAAAAATGTTCAAAAAATAGACCCTTTCAATAAAATAATTTATTATAGCTACTCAATTCCGATCCTCGATAGTAAATTATTTAAGCTTGATGGTAATCATTTATAAATGAGCTGTACCAATAGCTGTGAACATCCATTTGGCCAAATTAAAATTTATATCATAACTTTTAACTATCTACTTTTTTTTTTTAACGTCAGATTCTTTAGTTTAAAAAAAAAAACTTTTAGTTTTTTGATCCAGCATCATCAACTTATACATATTTATTAGCTGACGTCAAGGCCAAAGAGGCGATATTGATCGATCCAGTTATAGAATGGGCCGAACGAGATTCAAAGATTATCAATGAATTGGGTCTCACGTTAAAATATGCTAGTAAGTCCTTAAAAGTTTTTAATCGTTTCTTTTTACATACTAAGTGATTATTTTAGCTTTATATAATGTAATCACTGAATTTCATTATTATACACATTCACTATGATCATTTTATATTAGTAATTTTAAACTACCAGCTTCTTACGCAATAATTATAATACAACAAATAATTGCTATTTAATAGGCTGTTTAAGTTATATATTAATAAGATTAAATAAATTATCTTAATCGAAGAATTTTAATGAACTGGTTTGCAAAATGTCTTCTCTATTATATATTCTATTTCCATTTTCACCAAGATTTTAGGCCAATTGAATTAATTACCTTATTATTATTGAAGTTATTAAGTTCTTTCAAGCACGGCAATCGGTTATACCGATAAACCCATCCCAACCAACCATGCATTCATTCCTTAATAAGAAATTTTTATTTTTTTTTTTTTGATAACGTAAACTAGTGAACACGCATTTGCACGCGGACCACATAACGGGCACTAGAAAATTGAAAGAACTTCTCCCCAGCTGCAAGTCAATTATATCGAGAGATAGCAGCGCACAAGCAGACATATTACTAGAATCTGGGGATCAAGTGCAATTCGGCAGGCACTGCTTAAAAGCTAATTTAACGCCTGGACACACGATCGGTGAGCTCATAACGAATAACGATTCTTTTGATTTAACGTATCGTGGACAATGTAATGTTAATCCGTGGCTTAAAACATAAGGAGATATAACTTTTATAGTGAAATCATTAGTAATTAGTTGATTTGTCACGGATAGACTTGATTTTAACTTGCGCTGTATTTTCTCAATCCTGACAGGATTTTCTTTTCATTTTTATTCAAACAATGTGTCAACTTGTTGCACTGTTTCCTAAAATCATTCTAGGGAAATTTTTTTTTTTTTTTTTTTTTTTGCTTTTTGCTTTTTAATCAAGTATTTAATAATGTCACGTGTCACGTGTCACGTTTAAGCCTGCAATGTTTATAATGGAAACGTATTTAATCTAGCAATATTCTCAATAACAATGTCATTCGATACAATCGCATACAGATTTATACAAAAATCTTTTTCATTGAAAACTAAAACCTGAATAACGCCAAAGTATATTTTATTAAGATGTTTCCTTTTCAAAAAAAAAAAAAAAAAAAAAAAAAAAATTAATACAATTTTCGTGTATGTTTATTTCATTAATATAATTAAAGTATATAATTGCGTTGCCTAGGTTGCATGACATACATTTGCGAAGAACAAGGAATTGCGTTTACAGGGGATACTCTGTTAATACGAGGCTGTGGCAGAACAGATTTTCAGGTATTAACATCTTCCAATTTACTATAATTTACAAACTACTTAATTTACCTTCATTCAAATAATTATTTATTTTGCTAAAATTGCTCGAGAAATTCCCTCATTCGCCCTCCTCAAAGATAAACAATTACTCGTTAATTTCTGTTTTATGTTTGTCATGTTGTATCATACAAAATGTCAATAAAGATCATTAAAGTAAAGTGTAAAGTGGCTATTGCTCGTAGGGTGGATCTGCAGAGACACTGTACAAATCGGTGCATTCAGTGATCTTCAAATTACCGGATTACTTTAAGCTCTATCCGGCTCATGATTACCAGGGGCAAACGGTGACGACCGTCGCCGAAGAACGGCAGTTCAATCCTAGACTAACCAAATCCCTCGAGGAATTCGTCGAGATAATGAACAATTTAAATCTGTCATATCCGAAAATGATTGGTAATGTTTACTTTAATAATTTGTTATATAATTTCATATGTTACGTTGCATTTTTTTTTTTTTTCTTAATGGATTTTCATTCTACAAAGCATTAATTAACTGTCGAATATTATGGCCTATGTTATTGGATATTGGTAATAATTGACTATTGAGACAATGAACGTAAAAAAGCGAGTGTAAATGTATTTATTTCCCTATTACGCTTATTAAATGATTAATTTATCACTCTACCTTAACAGCGATTAACTCGATTAATCAATTTAGAGCAACTCGTAACAGAAAAAAAAAAACTACTAAGTTATTTATTATTTTTAGATGTTGTATGTCTAAGCGATTAAATATTATTAATTAAGGAACAGTGACCTTACCGTAAGATATCTTGTGCGATTAAACATGTATTAAAGCTGGTTGGTGCGAGTTGAAAATAGGTTTGATTAAATTTTAAACAATTAGACAATTTTAATAAAACATTTCACTTATTTTGCAAATAAATAAAATCTAATGAGAAATAATATCAGAATTAATACCGACCAGTTTAATTGCAATTGCGTGCAGCACGTTGTTTCAAAGCAATTTAGTGTAATTGGTCAATTGAACATTCAAAATTAAATTTCCTTTCAAATTTATCGATTTAGAAATATCGGCCAAAGATGCTGTATTACAATTATGATGTTTTATGTCATTCTTTTTTTTTTTTTTTTTTTTTTTTTTTTTTTTTTTCACCTCTTAATTATTATCATTTATATGTACCATGAAATATAATATGTAATATATAATAGATAATGAAATAGTAATTGAAAAATTTGTTAATGCTTTGCAAAATGAAATAAATAATTTAAACAGTTATTACGACCTTGAAAATTAAATTTAGATATTGTTTTAAATCATATTAGAGAAATTATATTATAGGGAACCGATGATGATGTTTAAGTTTTTTTTTTTTAATTTTAATATAATATCGATATAATTACAATATCGACTGCGCTTGTATAAAAGTGGATTTATCGTTACAATGTCATACATTATAAATCGATTTTTTTTTTTTTTTTTTTTTTTTTTTTTATCAATAAGTGAAAAAATTATGAACACGGATGAACTAATAATTTCAATATTAAATTTTGTACACCCACCTCGACATAAAATATGTGATGATCAATATATTAAAAGACAACACAATAAAATGAAAAATACTTTATTAGGCATTTTTTTTTCTTTTATTTATGATTCAACCTCTCAATGTTTTTTGACTTTTTATAATTATCTCTACCCCTACTACCAGTGTATCTTACACTTCTTGATAAAATGCATTTGCGGATGTTATGTCTAAGATGTAAGAGTTACAGCTAATGTTTTATCATTATATCATTATATCATTATATTATGCCATTAAATGGCAAAGTGTAGGATATCGTTAATTGACTGATTAAAACGATATTCTTTATGTAAGGATTTTAAATAGCTTTTACTTTGGTTTTTTTTTTTTTTTTTTTTATTCCTTAATGCTTTCGATTCTTACATAGAATTTATAAATAATGTTACATTAATGAATTTTGTTTTAGATAAAGCTGTACCAGCAAATAAAGTTTGCGGACTATATCAAGTAAAATAAGAAAAATAAAACATAAAAATTTTTCATTTTTTCAATGTACAATGAAATTACGAATATGATTGAACCGTATCATTATAAATGTTACCTTCAATACATAATATAATCTTTATATAGGCACAATATATTGTACAATACAATAATTTATGTTTAATAAAATAAAGAGAAACAGAAAACGAAAATTTACATATGTTTATGTTGGTGTATGATTCATTATCTTATAAATTTTAAATACATAATGGTTGGCCGTTTGTATTCAATCATTACGACTAATACGTTCTTGTAGGTTTTTCTTTTAGCAACGGAGATAACATTTTTTTTTTGTTTTTTGTATTTTTTTTTTTTTTTTTTTAATATTAAGCACTGGTTTTTATCAACTAGAGTATAAGAATAAATTTTTCATTGAAATCAACGTCGTACATATAATTTGCTCTCTAAAGAAAAATTTAACATATTTAAACGAAAGAAAATTAACCACAAAGGTAAACAGTAATCAATCAGTCGCAAACGCACTTTATAATAGGTAACTGCTTGTAAGTTACGTTGAGGTATGTCATTATAAAAATTACTATTAATTGGAGAGCTCATAAAAGTCTCATTACTATATAAGGTTTGTTGAAATTATTTGAAAAATATATCTATGTATATATTAAAAAATATATATGTTTTTACTTTAAGCAGAGCTGATTAAACTATATATTTGAGCTTCTCACTAGTATTATCTTTTCTTTTGTTTTTTTTTTGTTTTTTTTTGTTTTTTTTTTTGTTTTTTTTTTTGTTTTTTTTTGATTTCATGTAAAAGAAAATCGTGAAAAGTGAGTGTTTCGTTATTTAAGGCACGCCGCGCACGAAACTTGTAATTCATATATCTATTTGTGGGAAAAATAAATTACACTTCGGTGTACTTTGTCGTCGCTAAAACATTTGACTACACATTGGTAAAACTTTAAGTTATGGCATTAGCTTCAGAGATACATTGCTCGATGGGTAATGATTTAATACTTTATTTAATTTATCTTAATGTTGCGCCTATATTTTGAAAAAAATCTCAATCACCAAAATATCTTCAAAACAAGAATTAAATTAACAGTATAGTAAAGATTTATCTAATATAATATAAGTTGGAGCTATGTACCTCCCAAATGAGATATCTTCCGACATTTCACATCTAACTATAGTATAATATACTTCCGTATTGACTTAAAATTTAAACACATATTAACATTGCATATTTTTAAAGACTTCATTGATCGATGATAACATTTCCATATGCATCTCGTATACTCTCTAAATGTATATTAAACGTGCGCACTTGGTTAACATACGCAATTAAATATCAGTTATGGAATATAAGCATTTCTATGAACAAGTAGCAGCGCTCAGCTAGCGTATTTTGCTATATAATGGTGAGGGGCGGCGGGTGGGGTGGGGGATCGTGTGCGTGCGTATATGCATATTTGCACATTTATATCGATGGACGTTATAATTAATATTTTAGGATGAAATGTTTGCGAAATATGCATATAAAAGAAAGCATTTTATTATTTTTCAAATAAAAGCCGTTTACAACAATGTATAAAAATTTGTTTTACATTCTTAATGTGCCTATATATTTTGTGCATATTTTACTTATTTCTTTATCGAACTAGAAAAAGAATATCCTTGCGGTATTCGCCTGCGAAGTACGCGATTTGATAAAGCTCTTTCATAATTTCAAAACGTAAAAAAATATGTTTCAACTGGCAAAGACTTCTCCCTCTTTCATAAATTATATTAATAGCTGTGTAAAAAAAAAAAATCAATATTTATATTTATAATAATATATAATATGCTTAATAATTATAACCTTAAATCTTTGAAACTGCAGAATAATGGCAGTTCGTTGATACGCTTCTACGCACTCGCATATATCTTTCATTTTTACGGCTTCGAGAATGTCACAGTAGATATAATTACCAGGAAAAATTTTATATGCATAACAAGTTGTCTTTATACAAAGTAAAGTACACGTGATCCTTTGCATTTCTGCTATGTCCTAATGTAAACAGTGCTATAAGATCCACTCATTCCCTATGACAGCTGAATCTCCTTACTAAACTATCTTCATTTAATTGTATTACATCTTCATAAAGTTGTTTATAATTTAAGAATATTATTAAACAAGGAAATTAATGGCACCGAATGCATATGTGGCTCACATTCATACATATATATACATACATAAATAAATATATATATATTTGTATGATAGAAAAAATCAATGTACGTATAGCATGCATTAATAAAGTTTTTCCCGGTTTAGATACAAAAAAAAAAAAAAAAAAAAAAAAAAAAAAAAAAATATTGAAACAAAAAGGGAATGTCTAAAAGTATAAATTCACTCATCTACAACATCGACAATATGTTAAAATAGATTGGAAGAACATGCACGCATTAGATACGAAGTAATTGATTGCTAAATCGCTGAGAAGACCAAGACTCACGACTTGTCACTTTTTTTTTTTATTAATTTATTTCTATATTTTTATTTTTATTAATTATCTCTCGCTTTTAACGCTTGACAAATTCAAGCTCTCGATTAAAATGAAAGTACCAAGGACTTGCACACGAAGACGGGAAAAATAGAAACGATTGAATCAAGGACGAATCGTGAGAGCATCGGAATATCTGAATAACTTTCAAAAACCATTCCAAGTTAAAAGTTAAAGCCATACTGCCATAAAAAGTCGTTTTAAGCAATTCATAGGCAGAAGAAATTGAAGTATCAATATTATCGGATTTACGTGAAATAAATTTCTCTAATATGCTCGATTAATACACCGTTGGTTTTTACAGCAAATACATTTCAGTTATTGCCTCAGTGCGATTTAACACACTCAACTAGCTCGTTATAAGTTAGAAATTCATTAACTAATAATCATGTCACCGTATAAACAAAAAAACAAAATTGCAATTATAAGATCTTCTTTTAACGAATTAATGCATTTAAAACTTAATAATATATGCGGAATATACAAAAACTACCATCAAAATAATACTTTTTATGCTTGATATCTTTCATACTTGCGTACGTCTTTGCGTTCTTAATTTTTCATTCTGCACTTTTATACGAAAATATTACCTATGATTGCTTTAAGCCTTATCTCATTGGCTCTACCTTCCTACTGTTTCTTTATTCAAACATGGAATGCGAAAATCTTTATACCGTACCAAGGAAAAGATTATCATAAATCAATTACTTAATTACATATAATTATAATGTGTATTTTATATTACATTTATTTGATTTTCTAATGAAAGATTTTTAATGTGCACTTTTTAGTGCACACTCGAGCTTATAGACTTCACGGAGTTATGCATAATTCCGAGTTAAATATAATTAAAAACGTAATATACACGTTTCTTCAATTACATGTAATTACGTAAGATTCTTTATCTTACTTTAACTTTACGTTACTTCAGCTTTGCTGCTTTTTTTACACATATAGTTAGGTATATGATGTATGCATTAATATAAGGTTTTGCAAGCTCGTAAAAGTAAATAAGCCAATTATGATGCTCGAATTCACCCTTTCCTCACAATACTACAACCTAACAGAGTTTTCTAGATTATTATGTCGCCCTTGTAAGGCTACACATCTAGTAATTATCTTTTGATTATCATTGCTGTCTTAAGTTGCAATATATATGCATCGACGAAAGGATAATAGCCCCCATACTTTATCGAACAAGCGCTTACTGTTTTTACAATTTGTTATAATTATGCGATAAATTTCGGTTTGATGCATTGTCAAAATGATGAAATACCTCAATTGCAGGTATTTTAATGCAAGCCTTAAAAAAAAAAAAAAAAAAATTTTTCTTTTTCGAATACTTAAATGACAATACGCATAAATGCTTTTAAAATATTATCTTTACGAAAAAATAAGTATAATATAAATTCCAATGTTAAGTAAAATAATTAATTTTATTTAAAAAAAATTAATGGAATTATTTACTCTAAATTAAAATTATATATAATTATAATGATAAATTCGTAACTTTTCTGAAAATGATAAAATATTTAATACTTTCATTAATATAAAAAAATATTCAATGTAAAGATTTTCAATATACAATTATCCTTCACTAATATAATGGTTTCGTTATCATCAATAATCACCTCAAATATGACAATAAACTATAATATTATTATTATCTAAATATAAAATTTTTTTACATATAATTACGTTATATATAATTAAAGTAATTGTATAATGAGGCAATTATAAATGAATAGAAACTGAGTTTATGAGAAAATCATCTATTATCGATGTACAACAACAAAAAAAATTTATTCTCTATGGTTTGCAATAAAACAAACTCAGAATAAATATAAAAATTGTAATCAATTACAAATTAATTATGTAACGATTTTTACAATCACTACATCTATTCATTTATAAAAAAATTAATTCTTTCTTTTCATCAATTTTATTATTTATCATTAATTCAGTCGCTTATCATTACGTAATCGTTTATAGATTAAACATAATTTTTTAACTGATATGCACAAATATTTAATCTTCATTAGTTTTCTTTCAAAAAAAAAAAAAAAAAAAAACTCAATCCCATAATTTCTTAATGCATCAAACCAAGAAATGAGATATATAAAATATATATATAACGTGTCCAGTTATCGAAACAATCAATGATTGAAAACTTTTTTTTCTCCAGCTCTTTAATAATTCAACACCAATTTACTAAGAGCATTCCAACATCTAAATGAAGAAATCTGAGATAATCTTTATGAATCTTTCGAAACTGGACGTACATATTCATGAAGTAAAGTCTTCTTTTATCTCCATATTAAAAGCACTTCCGCAATGTTCCATCGAAGCGCTGGAAGATCATAATTTAAAATCGCCACGTGGCCGATGTACTTTTCAAACTCTTGGAAAGTAATCCACTTCAAGCACTCCGACGAATTACACGGTACAACCGGCATCGACGTTACTCGTTGCCGCTGTCGTGGTCGTCGTCGCCGTGCCATACGGGCTGCCCTGTCTGAAGAAATCCTGGGCGACTGCCTCGAAGCCCTCGACCTTCACCGATCCGTAATCCGAGAGAACGTTG